GTGGAGATACTCAGAAGGAGGAAGAGAACGTTGTGAAAAAAGACTTACGCCGGTGGTAATGCCATTCCCAAAAGCCTTGAAGGAGATGAAAGCGTCGGCCGCCTTGCAGAACTGGGCGACACCACGGAAGGCTCCGTTCGGGAAGCTCAAGTTTCTGATCAGCGCAAAAAGCTGACCGTAGACGTTGAGGGCTCGCTGGGTGATCTCATCGACATGAGCAGGATCAATGATGGCGAAGTTAAGAACATTGACCTCGATGCTGAGCTGTCTAAGCTCGGAGAATCGTACAAGGCCAAGGTCCAGCTGTCCAATATAGTTAGTAAAAGAATGAAGAGGTGAAATGAAGAGAGAAACTTACGCGCTCAGGTCGTATCTTCACGTACGCAGTGAACCAGCCTTTTGGAGCCTTGCGAATGGCGTAGAAGGCCCAGGCGGCGTCACGGAGATCTTCGAAGACGACGTACACATGTCCTCCGGTGGTCTCCAGGTTGCGTCCGCCGTGGAACCTGACTCCCTTTTGGGTAAGCTCCTATAAACTCGTCAGTAAATTATGCATTTCTCAAGATGGCATATGATACTTACGGTAATAAAATTGCCGAGATCGATGATGGAAGGTGTAGGAGTATCGCAGACCTCGATGCGGTGGGAGATATCCATGTCCTGGCTCAGGGCGCCGGCAACGGTAGGACTACCCTGGGGGTAGAAGACGATGGCATTTTTACCCTTAGATCGAACGCCGCGAGGCTGGAAGGTTGAAGCCGTGGCCGAAAGAGTGCTTCCCTGAGTAAGGCCGCCATCAACGAATGGGTCTTCGGAAGCCTGGCTTTGGCCAACATAGTTATTGCCTTGGATGGAGGTTCCCTGAGAGCTCTCGGCAGGAGAGAAGACGGTGATCTGCGTGTTAGGAGTACCCTGGATTGAGTCTGCAGCTCCCTCGGCAGGAGACGACATGTTCGCGTAGACACGATGGTCTGCACGAGAAGACATGTTGTCTGATTGGGGATGACAAGATGTCACAACAAAATAATGAGTAGATGAAATCTGAAGTTTGACGGGTATACGTGCTTCTCAAGAAGCTGAAAGAGAAGAGGAAATGCGACTGAGATCAAAACCCAAAGATCTTGTTCACATCCAAGTTGGATAGTGAAGTCGGAAAGATGTTGTGATGGGTGAAGAGGAAAGGAAGAGAGGGAGGAGGGAAAGGAACGTTGGGAGGGACTTGGGTAGGAGGGGAATGCGTGAGTGGGGCTGCCTCAGCACGAGTTGTGAATAGGCGGGGTGCAGGTAGGAATAATGGCAGGAGCAGACGGATGGGTTGTAGGCCAAGTTAGAGGAGAAACTAGCCTCGGGGGCCTAAGTTGTAGGGACGTAGTAGGCAAACTTATTGGTTGACAGAGACTCAGCAGATGGAACCCACGTGTAATAGAGACATATAAACAGTGTATTTCCCCTAGTAAACTCATCCAGCCCCCTATTGCGTCTGATATATATGCGGCTCAGTCCCTGAAGCTCAACGACCAACGCGTCTCAACCTCTTGCTGCCCCGGCAACGGCTTCTCTCCTCTCCTTGATTCACGAGGCCATTCATGCATATCCCATTTCGTTCTCCTTCTTTGAATTAATATTTGTGCGTTCAAGTTGAGTGTGCTTCGCTTGAGGTCTCGTGATATCACGATGTGGTTGATCTTGAACTCCCAGGTTGAGGCCGATGATCGGTCCTTGGGCCTCCCTACCCCGCTCGTGACTTCGTAAGATTGGACTGCCCTGATGCATCCCTTGAGGCCGTATATCTCTATTGATCATGATATCGCCTTTCGTGATGGTGATTCGCATATACCATATATATGATATGCCCGCCTGTTACTCCCCGATGATACTTCCAACATGCATGCACTTTTGATATAAACTATACTCGCTCATTCTCTGATCTCTATTGTATGCTAAAAGTGATTTGTGTATTGTAAATATGCTGTGTTGGTGTTTCGGTTGTTGAGTGTCCGACGGTGCGAGCGAGGGTATTCACAACACTGGGCCCCTGGGACTCGCTGCCAGAACTACCCCTCCACTAAGTCCATGCAACACGTACGTCATTACCAGTACAGGCCCCCTATAATATTCCATTTCGCCCTACAGTTAGTGAATTTGATGCTATTCAGGGATTGCGTTCTTTGTTTTATATCAAGGTGTTTACCCCAGCCTTTGGTCATGGTCCCTGATTTCCAGTATTCCTTTGATACTCGCAACAATCAACGATGCTTGGCCTTGTCCAACGAGTCAAACTTTCTCAACACAAAGACTCTCGACTTCTCTTTGCTTCAGTCCTTCTTTCGCATGTTGGAATTCATGTTTGGTGGTGATGGTGGTGACTAGTGTCCCAACGTTCGTGCATGTCGTATTTCTAGGGCGCTCTACGGAAGACACAACATCTCAGGTACATGCGATACAGACCTAACTAGTTTCCTAAGCTTCTTGCTCGTACTGACCGTCATGAGATGCAGATAATCATAAGACAGCATGTGAGACAGAACAAGAGACGACATCCAATGAACCACCAAGCAGCAATCTTAGCGGCAGCGTCTCCTCGGCCATACACAATACGGCGAGCAGCGCACTTACTCATTCCAACCTACCCTCTTTATCTATCACCAGAAGCATTGGATGCAGTAGGAAGAAGAGCGAATGCATTCAGGTGGCGCGGCGCTCTTGAGCCAGACGGTCAGCGCGAGCCCTTCATGGAGCAAGGAGAGTGAAACAGGGCGCTTCTATGCTTTTCTAATGATCTTTCTGTGACAGGAAGAGCATAAAGATAAAAAGCCGCCAGGTGTTTGGTTTGTAAGTGTCTCGCTTGTGTTGAGTGCCTTTATGGTTTACGGGAAGGCAAGTCCATGAAGACACGGGAGAAGGTATCATACTTACAACTCGGCTTCTCAGACCTTCAGAGACATACAGAGATAGTGCCAGAGCCTCAGGACTGCTTTCCTTCTGTCTGGCCTCCCTTCCCTTGCCCCGAGATCGATCACGACACTGCGACCAAAGGACGTGAAGAGCTGCCGCCAGATGGCCCAGGAGGCTCAACCTTCGACTCCTTGGCCTTCAATGACACTGGACAAGTTCTTTTAAGCTTCCTCAGTCTGTGCTTTCTTGTCCTTCGCAGGCGAGTCCAGCGGGCTGGTCCTGGAGATGCTTAAGGGTTGTTCAGGGGTAACGCGGAGTGTGGGAACCGACAGCCAAATCGTCTCCCGCCACAAGCAGCCACGTGCCTGATAGCTACAATCCTAACTTTTTATATGCTTCGTCAGTAATCTGCTGTACTAAGAAACGGATATGTGCTCATCCTGAAGTGCTAGAATCAAAGGGGCAAGTTGGTGCTGTTCACAGATCCTGCACCCCGAGGCCTGACCATGAACAAGGACACCAATGACTCAAGTTAGTCATCATTATGGATAACTAATGTTTCCAAAAAGCCTGGAGACGATTAATTCGTACCCAGGACACTTACTAGCGCTTGAAGATGAGCTTTTGGTTGAGATTCATCGAATCTTCAGACGCGGCGCTTTTTTTTCTGAGACTTCCTACGCTGATTACTGGTGGTCAATCATAATCTTGGTATAAGTATCTACCTTCCCTTTTTATATCGTCAAGAACTATGTGGTGTGCTGACTTCTATCGCTAATTCCAGGTTTCTGTTTCCGCTCAGCCCCTGAGTCCACCGACCGCCCCTCGCAAGACACGCCGAGTATCGCAGTCAACCTTACAAAGACCGTCACCCCTTCATCAACACTTACATTAATAAGAAGGACATCGAATATCTCTGAAATTGGGGTTGAGCGCCGCTCTTTTGGTGTAATATGAAGTAGATGGTCAGTACTGGCTTAATAGACCCAGGAGCGCGCATGACTCTGTTGGGCTTCACAAATAATACGGATTGTTTAGAATTTAAAATAATACCAACTCCGAAGTTTTAAACCTCAGAATTCGCATGTCCGAGAAAGTTTCCCTCTGTCTGGCGGTGTTGGAGCAGCTGCTGAGAGGAGACGGGTTGGGAATCCAATCATTCATATCTATTCTGTATCCGCTTTCATTTATGATCCATCTCAAAACTCTTGAGCTCTCAAGGGTTGTACAGAGTGCAAAGTAAGTACCCTGGTTTCTCCTCCGATCCAGGATCGATATTCAGGAGTAGTTACCTACGCTTTGAGCATGACTTTGTTGTTGCAGACCTAAAATTGGCCAACCCTTCTTCCGTTCGCTATCCACTACAGGATCGTAGGCGGTCCCACCAAGGCTCAGATGTATCCATGGATTACAAGTCCGATGTGAGAGCAGGGTCGCCACTACTAGACACAAAGTCGTCGACTCGAGCATGATTGAAGCACCTCAACAGACAAGAGCACCCTCTGTATAATAATTTGCGGTAAAAGGATTAAAACGTCTGTCGAGGCCTTGAAATTATTCCTGACACCTCCAACAGTGCGCTGTATCAAAAGTTTGACCATTCTAGCTATTATAAGAATCAAGTCCCTCAGATATTCTGTGTCGCAGTCACCGTGCGAGTTTCCGAAGGCCGCTCTGCGTGGAGTATCATTTCATGAAACCGACGACTATCAACTTGCTATCTTGTCGTCTTAGGGGGGAACATCCCATACTTCTCGAAGGGAGTCAAAGGAGTCATGAAATAGGCATTGCAGAAACTGTTACAATATTTTGGGACAGGTTTGAATTGTGAACTAGATGTGTTATTTGCACTTGAGATATTAGAAGCCTGTCTTCATCCCTTCAGGCACACGCCAAAGCTCTCCCGACTTTCCTTCATCTTTGCGACGATTTCATCGCTGCCTTGAACTGTCGTTGGTGTGTTCCATTGAAAACTCCTGATCTATCGTTGATCAGCTGTCCTGCGTAGTTATCGCGAACGATTCTCGGTGTAGATCTACTTGCGGGTAGGGTCCTCGGCGGTCGAGATAACCTTGCGGCTCTTTGGGTTGAGATAGTTGATGATTTGGTTGGGGATAATGACTGCCTACCATGGGTTCTCCAGGTCGAAACGAAGATAGTCTTTCGCCTCGAACATGTCCAGCGTTCAGGATCCCTCATACCCCTTACTCCCACGTCGACGAGGTTGGCAGCAGTTGCGATGGTGGATCTAACATGTCCATGGTTCAGGACTCTTTGTGGCCCCACCCCCCCGGCACCCCTTTCATTTCGACCGCAACCTTGTCGATACCCTCTTCCATCTTTTCACGGCTAATGTGCTTTGATGTGGGACACCCACGACAGTCTGTGCTGATCCCAACCAAGTACAACCGTTCTTGGTTTGGATATTGACAGCCTGCCGTGGATATTCCAGACCAACCCGAAGATAACCATTCTTCTCAAACATTTCCATGGTTAAAGATCTTGTCTGCTTCCACTGGCGGGTGTTATCGATTTGTTTCTGCTTGAGGTCTGTTCGGCTCATCGCGCCGAAACGCTCCCGACTTTTCTTCATGCTTGCAACGATACAGCGACGCCTTTCTGCATCTTCTCACGGCTGTTGTACTTTGTAGGGACCAGCACAGCTTTGATGTCGAAGAATCGGCCAGTTGCGTCGACAACTCAAGACCGTTTGAGCTTGATGTTGGCGACGTATTTCTTCGCTGAGGTCGAGTCTCGAAACTCCACGCAGGCGAACTTAAATGCAGTTCCAGTCTTGGCCACGTTATCCTCGACGGAGACTCGGACAAAGGCTGCCTGTCTAGGATGCTCCAGGTCGAAGCGCAAATAGTCATTGCTCTCGAACATGTCCGGGCTCATAGGCCGATAGGGACCTCCTTGGCCTTTAAGGCGCCACACTTCCTTTTTCAGGAGGAAAGACGAGGCCCTGTTACTACACGAGTGGCGTTAGCGAACTGTAGGGATGAATACCAGGAGGCCTTCTTCGTACTGAAAAAAGGGCCTGGCCAAGCCAGACGGCTAGTCGAAGGGCCTCGCAACTGCAGTTTTCCGGGTCGTGGATTCAAGAGGCAATCACTCTTGCCAGAGTTGATGACTGTCCTCGAGGAAGATGGCGTTGAACTTGGGGCCGTTCAAGGCTAGGCTCTGTATGGTTGCCAGCTTGTTCTACGAGGCATGTATGTCTGCTTGAGCTTATTCCCAAGCACGCGTGCCTTGGGCACCTGGAAGCTTGACTCGTCGTTTCATGTGCTGATCTGTTACTGGCTATGCAGAAGCTTGATCCGGTACTATGGCAGTAAATGTCAGCACCGCTAATGCAGCTCAGACGAAATTAAGACGAAGACGAGACGAGCTCAAATCATCCGCGCTCATCTTACCTAGCTTTACCGTATAGTATTTGACAATTGCATGCAGGACTGGATGAGAGCTGGACGAGATACGTTGGCAGCAACGAGTGAAGTGAAGTCTACGGCAGGTTAGTTTAGTGCATCATCTCAAGCAAAGTGCGCATTAGACTTACTCGAGGGAATCAAAGCGAGTTTAGGAGGTCGGGTGTTCCGGAATGTGTGATGGAGTAGGGGGGAGTCGAAATGTACGGGGGAAATGATGAGATATCGGATGAGGATCCGATGAATGAGGAAAAGTATCATATAGACTATTGAGCATGATAAGAATAAATGATGTTTTCGTGGAGCATGGCTGGTGTTTCTGATGGTATGGATGAGGCAAAAGAAAAGAACTCCTAAGATGGCAAAGTGGGGAGGTGAAGTACGCAAGCCCTGCAGTTACAACTCGACGATTTCTTAGGTAAGACCTTGTGTTGGGCAATCACGAGTGGGCCATTCAACATTGGACGACTCAAAGCTGAGCATGAACTGCAGCGATCCGGGTGGGCTGCTCCAGGGCTGGTTGCATAGCGGAAATCCATGCCTCCCGCGGGGCTGCATAACTCCCGTCGTTTCTGTCACACGGGGCTACCTACCAACCTACCAATGGTGACCCATCTGAGGCCCATGTGTATTTTCTAGCCTTTTGTCTAGGTAAGTACCTGGCTACCAACGTTTGCAGTCTGTGGCCAGCCAGTCTTCGTGAGATGTAGGCATTCTCAGCAGTCATTTCAACAATCCCTTGGCTCATCCCTTTGCACTCTCATCTTTTCCTCGAACCACGATTCCAGCACAGTCATACCTGTCACCTTTTCGATATCCTTTACTTCGGTATTCATAGCTTCAAGTCGTTGGAGCTCTCTCGGCCATTTTCTCTTCTCCAAGTTTGTCTGATGAGCTCAAGGTCTTCGTATCCTGCAAGCTCCGGTACGTTCTCTTCAACTCCAATAGCTTACATCCAAGGCCATTCCGGTTGGAAAGGTAGTTAACTCCAACTTTTTTTTCCTGTTCTAATATCTCATATACCTAGATAATTGGACTTAGTCAACATTATCCCAACCTCGCCAGATGGTTTGCAGGCAACTTCAGCAAAACAACACAATTTCTACGATAGATTCTGTCATCTTGCATGAAGAAGGGAATTGCTAGCTTCTTGTAGCCCCCTAGCAACAAAAGCAGACTCCCATCCCAGAGAAACATGTATCCACACAGATCCTGGAGCTCGATGCGTGACACACTCAACCATCATTTCCTACACAGAATTGGGACTCTTGGCGCTTTGCCTGTCTCCAAATACAGCATTTGCGATGTTTCCGTGCCTTCAATCTTGAGGCCCAGCTTCGTCAGAGCGTGCCGCAGGTGTCTAGGTGTAACAGACTCTCGCGCACTTGGAGCCAAACCGCACTCCTTGACACGATTGAAAGCTTCTCAAGGTATATTGGCCACCTCTTATATCCTGTTCATCTTCTCCGGTCGTAGTTGATAATTCATGTCACCAGATGCCTCCGTCAGTGTCTCAAGGCGACTCAACAACTTCCTGGGCTCAGAACCTTCCAGACGATGTTCTGTTTCCGACTAGAGTACTGCCCTTATAGTGCTGTATCTTACAGGCCCTATATACCATTACCCATTGCGTCTACTGTCTTGGGGCTTGAGGGCGCCAGTCGTGGCCATGCGCCGACCCTTTGCAATATGCTGGTAGGAATCCAGGAGCTTTTCAGTCTAGTTAGTCCTCCATCTTGTGTTCGAAGACCACTTGTCAACGACATTCACTACTGTATTGCCTTCCACGCAGGAGTCATGATCTTTGATAACAGCAACGCGCCACCCTTGAAGGAGGCTGCAGTCACGCCAGGTCTCTCCATCACAGGATCTCCGGCACTGTTATTAATCAAGCATCCGATGCATCAGCTCTCTGGCATGGCGAGTGCCCGTCTATGATTACTTTGTGGTCAGCCCTCTTGACTAATGCAGGATGAGCGTAGGCTACCTCAGGGGTAAAGTACGAGACTTGACAACCGGCCACCACGACCCCTCGCCATGGCTTCCTCCGACGCTACCTCTGTTTCTCATTCAGAGAGAACTAGAAACAGCTTATCTAGTGATGAATATGCTGGACATGCTTCCACCACAGTACCGGCTGTCCAGGCTCGATCCTGGACAACAGCCATCGCATGATACTGCAGGTATGGTATATTCTCAGCCATGAAAGTCAAGAGAATGGCATCAGCGCTGCTCTATTTCTCTTTATCAGAACTAAACACAATGAAACTCCCTGCATAGCGTCTCCAACTTGGGTTCCTTGTCTTCAATAATGGCATGGCATTCAATCCGGGCTCCTTCACTCCGGCACTACCATGGCCACTCCGTTGCAACGGGCCTGATACTTCGCCATTCAGCGGTAGCAGAGGAAGCTCCTTGCTAAATGCTCCGAAGGTACGTCCAAGAACTTGGTCGCTCTGTTACGTATTTTGCTGATGCCCTTCAGACACTTCACTAGTTCCGCCCAGGTGACCATGATTCGGCTCTCTCCAACTTCGTGGGTCCAATACTGCCATCTCCTAAAATTGTTTCTTCTATATATGCGCCACGAGTCGGTTCCGATACTTCACTTCCATTCAGGGGAAGTTCTGAGACCAGTCGAACGACCCCTTTGCCAGTGCTCAGTGGTTACGACTGGACAGGAACGTCTTGGATACTCATAACTGGATCCTTCAGTGCAAGCAGAGTGTTGAACGCATTGGTGGTCCCCTTTTACTACGAAAAATGGCGTGGCTTCTCGTGGGGACTTCAAGTGGCGTGGCATCGTGGCCACCTCCTTACATGGCGGTGGCGGTGACCGCGGTGTCGTGGACCTCGAGTCTCGCACGGCCGAATTCCTTGGGATGGATAGCCAGACTCGTGCTCCATTGCCCAATTACAGAGCACCAAAGAGCATGGCGTGTGTTTTCGATTACCCGACCCCGGCCAGACCACCAGCGAGTTACCAATTCCCCTGAACAGGGTAGACGTCGGTTCAACCCAGGTTATCCTACCACATCATATACCTCAAGACACCCAGAATAGCTAGATGTGACCCGCCATCCTTCAATCGCATAAACGACGATTTGGTGCTCAACTCGTCTCCGGAGGAAGTACACGTGCTAGTCGCGAAGCAAGTTTGGCCTTTCAGCCACTATCTTCACTTCAATCGAGCAATAGTCGGTCTAAATGGATGTTCAGCCTAATATCTGACTACTTTCTGGGTTGGCCTAGATGCCTCGTGTTGACTGGACAGGAGTTATGTTCTGGACAGCCTACCCTAGTCGTAGGGTTAGGGTACCCCCAAGCTCCTGTCGTTGCGAAATTCTTTCGTTACTCGATGTCAGAGTGGCTTCACGTCGAGTAATATTGTAATACTCTTCAGCAGCCATTCGGTTCATGTAGCTGAGCTGGAATCTCTTCCAAGCTGGACGGGGTTTGTCCTGTTTCGTTTCCTCCCTTATCTCTCGCCTTCTTCTATCACTAACATAAGTTCTCAAAATGTTTAGGCCCTATCTCATGTACAAACTCTCCGTCACCCTAATTCCCCCCAAACGGTCGGAGCGGTCAATACCTACGGATCTAGGCTGAGGCTGATGTCGAAAGCCCACTCTCCATGTTCCATCCTGTCAATGGATCACTCTTCTGAATAACTGAGTGCTGCCACAGAAGCTTGGTTTGAGAGCTGGTCACATGGGATGGAAGCCGAAAGAACACAGGGGTGAGACAGACCTAACATCAATTTTTATCTTCGAAAACAAGCATTTAGTTATTCACTTCATCACAGCAGTGGTTTCTAGCAAATATACCTTTCAACTTGCGTGATGGAATAGCTCCAGGGGCTTTTGGCTGGTCTCCGTAAGTCTCCGACTCCATCCTCTGACCAGAGACAAATTTAAATGCTGACAATTGCCATATAGACGACTACATGCCGCCAGGTCTCGCTTCACCTTTCTCTGTGAGAACATCATAACTTGCCAATACACATGAATACCGCCAGCACTGTCAGGGCCTTGGCATGAGACCTTGTCCTTCGGTAGTAATGGGACAACGGCCCCCAGCTTGCGATACTGGACCATCGAGTTCCCGGATTCGCCTGTCAAAACACTGACAACTAGTCTCTGGTATCCCCAGGTCACTTTTCTTGTCATACACACATATCATTTCGGTCGTCTCTTCTCGAGTGCAGTTCAAGTAACTCCCCTATTCTTGAGACCTGATTTCGATTGCATAGAGTGTTCAATGGTCTCCTCCTCCTCTGTTGGCGTTCCTGTCCGGCTTAGGATTATCTCAACGCACATTTTAGGGATTTGTACTCTTTGCCCCCTCGTTGTCGTTACAAACATTGGCCTCGCAGCAGCGCGCACGACCACCGGTTCACAAGCCGCGCTCACAGTCACAGATACCACCGTCCCGGTAGGACTCGGGACATGCAGCGACCCATTCTCACGTGTTTGTACGGCGCGGTACCAGCACCGACACAACACAGATGATGAAGACTGGTAACAAGAGATGGTGGCAGGTCAAGAGATGGTGGCAGGTCAAGAAATGCCAACGCCACTACAGCAGAGCTTTCAGCTACCGTAGACAAAAGATTTTCACACACACAGATAGGTTCATCGTGTACAGCGGCTAGCGAAGTGTTAATTCTACCGCGTTGAGACTCAAGTGTTGGCCGGAATATGGCTGGGTCTAGCGCCAACTTGTCATGTGGATGTACTGTACAGGAACATAAACAAATAGCGCATTTTAATTCATTTCAAAGTTTCAATTTGACTCAGATGCCATATTTTCGTGTGTTTCGTGTGCAAACTCGGCATATGTCTTGCTTTAGATTCCTGTTTATTTGCACTCACATGCTGTCGTTTTTGCTTGCCTATACTCTACTGATACGATACTCATGTTCCCACTCTGCTAATTTCATACTATTTAAGCAAAAATGGCAAATAAATTCGGCCGTCGGTCAACTCGCACACCTCGAATGAAGAGTTCGTCTCTTACATTGTAGGCAAACTTGCTTCCGTCATGATGTGGTTCTTACCCTAGACCCCCTCTTTCAGAAGCTCCGTCAACATTGCGCTTCTCTCAGAAAATAAAAGCATTCTTTACTGTGATACAATACACAGAGATATGTGTTGTTTCTTGTTTCTTTTGTTTAAAACTGATGTAGCCGCGTTTTTGGTGTTGGGTAGCTAAATTCTTGCTGGATTTGGAGACAGAGCAAGTACTTCTTTCAACAAGCCTCGTACATGATTCTCACCAATAATAACAGACTTGAAAAAATGCAGTAAAACTTTAGTAATATTCCAATGAGTATAAGACATGTTCCTTCGATGATT